TGTAGACAATGCGATCGAGTTAGGTCATACAACGTGAGAAAACAAATTCGGTATGCCGGCGAGTAGAGCAATATATCACAAACAGTACTGATAACGACGAGTAAATAATTAATAAATAAAAAAACTGATGCTGCAGCAGCTGTTGTCTGTACTGCGCGCGTCGATAAAAATAATATACCTAATAACAATATATGTCGTGGTGGGGCACTTGTAGATCCCGTGTGGGTTCCATTCGCTTACAATTGGCCAACTAAGAATTTGTTTTCCGTTTTAATTTGTGAATCAAAAATGTGTTATAAGAGAAAATAATCGCAGAGGTTATCCGAAACCGTCTCCCCCCTATCTTCAGCGCTGGTTATCATAAATATTATTATGGTAATCTCGGTTGGGTTATCAAACGCGAGACGGTTGTCTCTCCGCGTGTGCAGATGTGAGATGTGCGCAACACGTGGTCTGTCCTTAAAGGTTGAGGTCAAAACAGTAACGGCCGGACGGCGGTGTGCATGTCGCCGGACCGCGCGACGGCCAACGGCACTGTCGGGCGGTGGACGAATAATAATAATTGTAATATACTACATTATCGCGCGTAAACGAGTGCAGGGCGCGGGACAGCCGAGGTTGAAGGAATATGCGATAAAGGATATGACTGCCCAAAAGCACGTCGGCCAACGATACTTTTGCGCGGCCGTTATGACGAACACGTTGTCATCGACGGACGTGTGTGCGTACGTGTAATACTTGCGGGCCTACTTTCCACCTCTGCCGCGCCACACCCGCACCAGCACCCTATGCACCTCCGCCTGCCGAAGAGGTCGAATACACCGTTACGTTGTCATGTGTACACGTCTGGTCTGACGGGGTTATGCAAACAGGTGGTCAGCATGACGACAAAGTACGATATAAATACAAAGCATTGTGCCGTTTTCAATTTCATCGGTCTAACTCATCGTCACAGTATAGCTGATATAGATTTTACTGTTAAAAAAAATTAGTTTCTTTAACTATGACACTCCAACTCACTATCTCTGTATTTCACGATATACAAATTGTTTTTATCAAGTTACAGCCCTTTGAAAACTGATAAAACTGATGATTCGATAACACGTACATTATAAACTTAGCAAAACGAGTTAACGGGCAAGTAAGCCAACCGTCTTACTATATAGAACGCGTGCAAAGTACAAATGTTAAATTATAACGTTGTAGAGTACTAACTTCAATTTTTTGAACTTTTTGTAATCTAAAATTATATTTACAAAATGAATTATTTCATGGCTGTATTAAAAACAAAATATCGAATGTTTTCATTATTTATATGGTCGATTATGAAACAGAGAAACGTCTAAACAAGCGAAACTGGCAAAAAGTCAGTTAAACGCGTTTGGCTTCATTTGAAAATTGGTCTGGCGATAGCCACCATTGTTACACGGTTAAAAATAAATTGGACTTGTTTGCAATATTTTTACGTCTTATGTTTTACCCGTTTTATCACATTTGAAACATTAGTCATTTTTTAAAAATTTGTACTGAATTTTAAATTGAGTTCGTGTAATTCAAAATAAGTGACTAATTCGAAGTACTTACTTGGAAAAATATTATGCTTTAATTAAAAATATACATGTATGCTGGTAAGAACCTTAATCAATTATCAAAATAAATACTCAGGTAGTTCTCTTATTGGTTGAAAATGTACAGTTAAACTGGTAAACAAAATACTTAGTAGGTTATAAATGTATCTCAAGGAATACTCATAAGAACTTTAAAGACATAAAATAATATAGTTCTGTTTTTTCCATTATTATCTAAATAATTCGGATTAATTTTACTTAATATTCGACGTATAGATAATCAAGTATACATATTCTAAATTATTTCCTAATCTAATCACAGAGTTTAAGGCATATTTTAAATATGTATGGTGTACGCTTTAAGAGGAACGGAAAACGCTATTTATTAAGGGGCAAGAATAGGCAATATTTGACAAAAAATATCTTGTAGCTATTTTAAATACGCCGATCAATTTTAAGGTGAAAAAATATTAAGTTTTTCTTGTTATACAACTTTTAAAGATATTCGCTCCGAGTTATGGCGAAGGTTTGATAAAAAATTACTTTGGTACAATTCTGTCAATTCATTTTCTGGCGTATCAATTGGATGGATTAAAATTTTTTTTTTTTATGTGAAGCTTACTATTTTCTCTATGGGGCTTAAAGGTCGATTTTTGATATAACTGTTAGAAAATTAGATTTTTTAGAAAAACAAAGTTGAAAACCAAAATTAAAAATCGGCCTTTTAGCCCTCACAGCGAAGATGTTTAACTTAATAACAAAAAAAAACAACACATTTTTTTCTAATCGGTTCTGTAGACACAGAATGTGATTTTGCGTTTTAGACTTAATTCGTATAAAATTTGGCGCTTTCACGATACATTAAAAAAAATAACTGTAGCAGATCTGAACATGTGTCAATATTGTATAGTTATGATGGTTCGTTAAGCGATTGCTTCTGGTTTATTTGTGCCCGAGGTACGCATTTCTGATGAGCAACTAATTAAAAAAAAAAACAGTATTTTTCTAATATATTATGATTAGTGCAGTGTCACATATTATTATCCTGGAAAAGGACATTAACAGCGGCAGTGCATTGTGTATTTAAGGGAAGCGTCCGAATTGTGTTCACTCCCCATTAGGGATTCGGCCGTTCTGCGGTTGAATACTCTGTGGGGAAAAAGAATTAACCAATTGACATGTTGGCATAAAAAAACGTTATCGACAGAAATCAATAACGTTGTGTCAACTCTTCTCGATTTTTCGAATGTGTCGTATGCGGTATATGTGTGAACAAGTTTACAAATAACAACATTTAACTGCAGGACAGCTGCTGCTTTCCGTTTAAAATTAACACTGATAAAAATTACAAAAAACCGGTGAAACTTTTAAAAATCAATTCCACGTTCAATAACTTTCTCGACTCCTCGTCGAAACTAAATGAAAATAAATAATCTCCAAGATTAGAAAAAGAAACGTGTCTCGATAACTTATTGCTTTTTCCGGGTACTTAAAACTTTGCGTTTCAAAGAGAAAGACCGAATCGAGTAATCCAACGTCAGTAATATTACATAAAGGCGGCTTTACGAAAAGTTTGAAGATAAAAAACCGGAACTGTTTAAGTAGGTCGTCCTCTTGAACCGAGCCTAAGTGGCATTTTCGATATTTTGCCTAGATTTATGACATAATATTATCCAAGTCGAATATCGACTAATATTTAATGCGGTAGACGACTCAGCTTTTAAGTGCACGGGAATCTCCTTGACCGAGCCGTTGTCGAAGTTAATATTCAGATTTCAATACAATTTTTACCCTAAGGGCACGTGGGGTACGGGCCCCGAATAATACAACTTACATCTTTCTTGTTTTTTTGGTTTTCTTAAAGGGCCCCCGAATTCTAAGACGGTCTTGTTAATACTACATAGTACAACATATTATTACTGCGAGCGGATGTTATCGAGTGATTCACCTGTTCCGACACGGCTGATACACAACTCATACTTATACCTTTTACCCGGACTGAGTCATGCACAGGTGAAAGAAGAGCGACACCGTTTCTTAAATACAAGCTCCTCGACGCCAACTGTGGGGCATATTCTGACCGCGTTTCTCGGTCGTTTGAAAGGTCCCGAGATGACTCGACCCTCCGAAGACACATGATTACATATTTATACTGTTTTTTTTTAAATATATGATAACATGTATTATATTGTAAAATGTTATAATGATAATATGATGCAAGAAACCGGCATAAAGCGCACGAATCCCGTCGAGACCTTATCGACGAGTTCCCGCGGCTATAAATACTGTGTATTGTTGTGAAGCGTTTCGCATGACGTAAGCACGTCAAATCTCCATACAACAGTTTTTTTTTTACATTTTCTTTTATAGCGCAATATTTTATATTATTATAACATTGTTATTGCGCCCTCCGGCGACGGGGTGAAGATATTTTTGTGTTTAATAATAATATTGATGCCGAATGAGTGTTCAGTATCAGCGTAAATAGGCGAAACCCACGTGTCCGAGATAATGTCAGTTGTCGCAGCTGCATCTGGGCTCTGAAGGGCCTCTACTTGTAAAATAATATATTATGATGTGTTTTTCACGATCGACAACCGTTCGGTAACCGGCCGAGATAAGCAGACAACACTGATGATAATAATAGTAGGTCTTCAGCCATTAAGTAGGATTCTAAATTATTATTGGCCGATTCTGGCGGGTCGAGTTTAATTTGTCGACAAAATCATTGGCGTTGGCGTCGAACACTGATTACCAAAACAACCGAGCTCGTTAAAAAAACCAGACAAACCGACGACATTTTGCATAATATTAAAGTGATGTAATACACGTTGTTGTTTTACTTTAAAAAAATAGTTTTGATGTTTTTAAAAATTAACTAGGCATGTGAAAAACAATTTTAAACACAAACCGTGTTAAATAAATGATTAAAAGTTTAAAGAAGGCTGGGTGGAGTAGCGATCGGCCATGGTGATTATCAAAATCCGAAGAAGATGATTGATAGATATTATATCTCTACTGTGTTGGCCTTTTTTTCAAAGTAAAACTTCAACGGTTTACTAGTAGTAATCTTGGTAAAACTACCTATTAAACATTTGAAGTTTTCCTTTTACAAACAAAAAACAAACACAGTAGGGTCGGCCATAGTGAGGACGTAGCATATTAGGGAGTGGGAGATCACAGGTCTTCGGGAATTAATAAAACAGAATGTAATAAAATCAAATTTAAATAAACGTTTTAATGCGAATCTATAGAAGGTAAAATTACAAAAAACCACAAAAGCTTAAATGTGTTTAAAATTATATTTTAGTATTAGGGTGGATACGATTAGGGTTGATCATCTGTCTATCAAATTTGTTGCCGTTGTTATCCAAACACAGTAATTAACAATAATATAATGAAAATATTTTTCAGATTCCTGTTGACTGTTGATTTTTTTTTTTTTTTATAATAGCCTTTATTAGTTGACTGTTGATTTACTAACATTTTACCAAGGTCAAAGTGTAGTTTTCTTCTTTTTTGTTGGTTTTTCCTTAACAGGTTTTTCCAGAAAATCGTATTTGTTATAGCCCCATTTTAGACATGCCTTTAATTATTGACAGACCTCAAGACCCAAAACTTCGCTCTCAGAAGAGAAATAAAGAAAAAGTGTCCACTCCCTTCAAGTTTCCCTTGATTCTGAAGGAGAAGCAGTGAACTTTTTAAATTTGTGGCCGAATAACGCATCTTACAGTTATACCATCTATAAAGAATTGCTACGTAAAGAAATAAGTTTAGAAAATATCATAGGTTCACACACACAAAAATAAATAAAAACACATCATTGTAAAAACATTACCTTCTCGACTCCACATCCAAGCTAAATTCAATTGGACGTAAAATTAATAGCAAGTAATGCTGTAATTTAGTGTTCATCCGAGTTTCCGAGGACTGACAATGTATGCAATATAAAATAGAAAACTCGTTTTGGGTCTGAAGACTGGTCAAGTGACATTAATTAGCGACAAGTTAATTTGTAGTGTTTGTAGATTATTCATTAAGTATTTTAGAATTTGTTTAATGTAAAAACTTGTGTGTTTAATTACTTTAAAATCATATTATACACGAGTTGTGTACAACAATACAAAACCACTATCTAGCTAATAAAACGAATTTTATAGGTTTTTTTATTGGTAAATGATGATATAATAATATAATTGATAATTACATATTGAATATTCGCATAATATAAACTAGCACGGTAATATCACAAGTAACAGGTGGGAAAACATTTTTTTAGGTATTTGTTTAATTATTTTTGAATCGTGAGCATACAAATATACAATCTATGTATATAAATAACACACACAACGAAAATAAAAATGAATAGGTATTAACTACACAATATATACGTTACACGTAAGTAAATAATCCGTGTGTTTATTAGATTAAATAAGGCTTCGACAACTGGGTACATTAAAATAGTCTTGAGATTTTTTTTTGTATATGCACCTGTACATTTATTTCATATAAACCATAATATTTGTATTTCAGATATTTTTACTTTTTAAGATTTTATTTTCGTTTTATAATCGTCAAGTTCAACTAAAAAAATATTATATCGCAATACATCAGCTATTTTTATTATTATAAATGTGTTGCTTTACTGTATTATAATACCCTACACCGTGCTATATTTATTTACATAATAATGTTACATGTCATGTGTGCTTAAACAAAATTGTAAAAAAATGCCCAATATTGCTGTATACCTACGTTTAATACTTGAATGGTGTTAGTGCGGAATCGATGAAAAATAAAAAATAAATTTATTTTGCGTTTTACCTACACAGCAGTAGTCGTTTTAGAAATGCCGTAGACCATAACCACTATTTTAACGAGTAGGTAACGACCAAAAATTGCCACACCGTAATCCATTCTATATTGCTCAGCTACGGTCTGATTCATGTATACTGTTCGCTGTATCTACTCCAATAATTAATAATATTATTATTGATAAAAAAAATTACGCTACCTTAGTAAGAACTAAGAATTGTGCACAGTAGGGAGTCGTCAAATCGGCCGATAGTTTGGAGATAATCTGAATTTGATAAATAACTTCTAAGAAAATGCTTTGATCTTTGGATAATATTATATAATATAATAATGTAAAATCTTGGTGCTTTTAAACAATTTCGATAAGATAAAAATATGTTATTCAAAAAGTGCAAAACGTCCCATCCCGTGAGTTTCTTTGATGCAAACATAACAGTTTTAATATATAAGTATAAAACGTAATTTTTAAGAAGCCATAAGGAAAAGGCCAAAGTCGTCTAAATCCGTGTTCGCTTACTGCAGAATACACATGTAATACATAGCCAGTAGCCTATAGGTGTATAGTTGTAAATACAAATTTTAGTAATGCGTTTAATTTTTACTAAAATATTATTGTCGAATAAAATTATTAAATTGCTCCAGTTTTAGCCAAAAGCACTTAATTAAAATATAGCCTGAGGTAATTGTATTTTAAACATAACACAATAATATCACCAATGACTCTAGTGGGTATTGATTGTAATTATTTGCATAATGAGTTTTTACATTTTTGTATTGTTTCTTTGAAACCTCGATAGTCGACTTCACAGTTCTGGGATTTTTTACCAAAAATTTGTTAATTTAAAATTTCTTATTATTCAAATAAAATGTATAAGTAAATACTAAAAAATTGCGTTATCGAAATGACGCTCTATTTATAAAAAGTCAATCCGACTGGTTTTAATTAAAAATAATAATATAAACAGAACTCAACCATTTTGCTATTGTATTTTAGTATTTCTATAAAAAAAATATATCAATATATATTGCTTGTTAAGAAATACTTTATAGTTTTTTCTACGTTCTTTTCGACCTTTTACGTTCCTTGACATTCGATACGATTACCACCGTTAAGTACTCTAGTCTGTTGTTAAAAGCTTTTTTCTCGATGAGAGAGAACACTTAAATACCATCATTAAACATAGCAAGACGCAAGTGGGAACTAAGTTGAAAATCAGTAGCATTCTTTTGTCTTAAGTCTTGGATCGTGTGGTGTTCTGTGGCAGAACCGAAGCACGGGAAAGGAGTGCTCTGCTAAATTTGATTTTGCCCCTCGTGTAGTTAATAAAAACGAAAAATTGCGCATACGAGTATGATAACCGATGCAAGCAAAACATATTGTGTATTATAGACGTCCTAAAGATCTGTTTAGATTTACCCTTCTCGCGGTGGAAAAATGACATAAAACTATTTAGTAAAAACTATTCAATTTACCACGAGTGACCACAATGTAGGCGTTTACAGTAGTAATAATTTTTGGCGGCTGTTATTTATTATAATAGTATACTTAAATATTTAACAAAACCATCTATGCGACGGTCGTGTAGGTCTTAGATTTGATCAAATTTCGAAAGAACTTGAACGTCTCGAAGACGTCGAGGACTTGCCCATAACGACCAACCGTTTGCGGTTTTCCACCGCACTGAAATAATATCATTGCGAACCTGCGACAGTCGTTACAATCTATAATGTGCGTTTGTAATACTCGACACTCGTTTAGGGATGTACTATTACAATATCGTGATTCGTGGGACTGACGCAAAATCGATGTGGATAATGAGATATTATTATTATATTATATATATATATTTTGGGGATCGTGGAAATTCGAACACAGAGAATGCGAAAGCCGGTACACCACCGACGGTTGTAGTTCCAAGAAGAAAAGCGCTGCCAGTAGCGCGCAGTGGCGGCGGTTGAATAACCCGCTGTGTATGGCCGCTCTATATTATACTCTACCGCCGTATTGATTTTGTATTTCCAACGGCTGCACACGCCGAGTATATTCATTTGCCGGCGCTAATATTATATAACGCGAATTTCTTGTTTGTTCCACGAGTTCCAAAATGCCAAACAGATATCAGTAGCCAGTCCCCGTTCTTCTTGTTTAAGATGTCAAGATATGGCATCCGGTCGAGTAGTCCTCCGCACTGGCACGGGCGGCCGGCACTACTAGGAAATCTTGAACTTGGTCCCCTCCGGTCGACGCCAAAAATTACATTCATCAACACAGAGATCCCCTTTTAACGTTAATTATGATCATATATTTTATTTGCATCGGCTGATGGTTATTAGGCACTCGTTAAAACGAATAATTTTAATACCGTTTCGCAATAGTTTAGTTGTATTATTATTACGGTTTCTTGTAAAGTGTCTTGCCCAGGGGCGGTTCTTTGACTCAAATTTCGTACAAGAAATTTCTTTATTCTTTATACAAAATATACGACACAACATTAAACTTTTTAACACGTAAAAGCCAAAAATTAAAAATGTTTAGTAAGGGCAGCTGCTTACCCTGGTCGTACGCTAGAACCGCCACTGGTCTTGCCTACCACGCGCAGTATCAAAACATATTGTATGGGTTTTTCGGTTTCCGAGAATAAATCCGCACTTGAAAACCATAATATAAAACTTGCGTTTTAATTGAACACAAGAAAAACAATAATTCGACGACAAACCATTCGTTAACATATTATTCCATTTACTATTCTATTATGATATTATGTAACTACAATTGATTCTTGAACAGACACAGAAGTATAATCACTTTCGTTGACCTTCGTTTCAAAACAGTCCGTGTAATCAGGCAAGTGCATGTTAGGGCCATGCATTATTTGTACTTCAAAACACTATTGTTGTAAACGGAAAATAAATTTAAAAAATTTTAAAATGTTAAAAGAAAGAAGCGTTATGAATATTCAAAAGATTAGCGATATTTAAATTGTATTTCTTATCAGTCATCATCTTTAACATTACGATAAACGATTACAAAATGAGTACCTATATTCTACCTAAAAATCGAATTATTATGGTTGAGAATTCTTTAAGTACTTACTTATTTACATTAATGCACATACTTAATACTTTAGTAAAACTAGGTGTACATTTTTTTTTGACGAGCCTAAATAAATCACTAATCAGAAACATTTATGGAAGAATAAAAAAAAACTGCTGTAAAGTAAAAAGTACCTACATAAAGTATACAGTTCAAATAATAATTAGTTTTATATTTTTCAAACCTGAAATTGGCTTCGCATAAGTCTGTTTTCTATCAGTATTATACAAAGTAAATTTAAACATAATCCATCAAATTGTTTTTATAACGAACCATATAATCTACACTGGTTAAATATTTCATCCAATTCTCCAAGAGAAGGACAAGTTATCTTTGATGTACAACGACATAGATAAAGTATTTTACTGAAAATAAAAGTATCAATTTTTTACAGCTAAATAATGGTCCTAGAAATGTAGTTCTGTATATAAAAAAAAAAATAATGACTTTAGAACTATCAGAAAAATGATAGATACTACCAAAATTATTTTTCGGTAGGACATAAATTTCAGAATATAAACGTCCAATTTGTAGCAAATAACTCATCTTTAAGTTAAATATCTTTTTGAAAGTTGTTTTTTTTTAATATCAGTTCTTAAACTTAAGTAATTTAAATTATATTAAATATTTTCAGTAAAATCACACGAGGCTAGTGTATCTATTATTGCTGTTAACAAATTATTTATAATTCCAGCATCTCAACACGCCATTGATTACCATTAACTGGACTCTCATACAAGAAATGTAATACCGATTGCCTGATTTTGTTTTAATCACATCGCCTAGTAATATATTATAGAACATTATTAGAAATATTGAATAATAAATAAAATGCATAATTTTTATGAAATCACATAAATTATACTTACAACAAAATAATAATTAATATTATATAGCCTAAAGGTACTATAATTTACTCAGTTCTAAGGTCTATAACTAGTTAGCGTCAACATCTCTATACTACTTACAAGAGTAGTTTTTTGAGTATTAATAATTTTAAATAATAATTATTGGGTAAAAAAGTCAATTTTACTATTTAGTTACAATACTTAATACTCGTTCCAGTTTTATAGTCTCTGAATTACTGTTTCTAAATTAATTACATTTAATTAGTCAATTTAAAGCAATGTTTACAATTATTTATATAATTACAATCTATAACAAGAGAAACTCATACATTTTTTAATTATTTTATTGTAATTTAAGTACAACTTAAGAAAAAAAAACTTATAAGTAAAATGACAACAAAAACAATGAAACAGGTTAGCAAAAATACAAACTTCAGGAAGTGTAGTAACAAAAGAAGGTTAATAGTTTATCAAATTAAATTTAATGAAAAATCCAAAAAGACACAATAATATGGATATAACTTCGGCATAATTTTTAATTAAGTGTTGAAACGCAACAATGATTTAAAAATAATAGAATTTAAAATGAATAATAAAAAAAATTGTAATAATTGTATTTTTATTGAAAGTTAAGTTTTTTTTTTAAATTAATGTTTAATTTTATTAAAAATAATTAATTAACTATTAAATGTAATGTAACAAATTTAGAGTGTTAGAAAACATATTTTCCTTTTTTTTTTTTTGATTGATAAGATCTCAAGTCAGTTGGCACTATTAATTTGATAGATAAAGGTTTAAATTTGTATAGAAGGGGATACATCATATAACAAAATAACAAGTACAAATTGACAGATGTTTAGGGAAGTAATTGTTTAAGGGCATAAATAGTTTAATAAAAAAAAAAAAAAAACATACCTCGGTTTTAATAGTACATCTAAAGACACAACACACATTTTTTTTTTACAGTTATTAAAGATATTTAACTCCATCCATAACATCTATGAGGAATTAGTAAATGTAGATGTTACATAGATTTCCTTTAACAAGTAGTAGTTAGACTTCATTTCAATAATGTACATTTATATTCGAGCACATTTTATCTCTAAAATGACAGTTATTGTCAGGGTTTGATAACATGAACATATATACATTATACATATTATATGAGATTATCTATTTAAGCAGTAAGACAGAAAAAATTTACCGTAATAAAAGAAAAACTCGAATTTACACTATTTTCAGTAATTATTAACCTCTCCAGTCATGTTAATACAACAATATTTTATCTTTAGTGGGATAAGACATTTCTAGGAAACATTGTCTCTATAAATCTCCAAGACAAGTATGGTGTGAAGAACCTTTAAGTATACAGTGTTATGGCCACAGTCAACGTTAATAAAAAAACAAAATAATTTTACAATAACTGGTTTTTAAACATAGTAAACGACGTTGTGGAGTTAAGACATAATGGTAACCAATAATAAGTATACTAAATACTAAGTTATAAATCATATATATACATATATAAATTGGTTAAGCTTTTTCATTCTTTTTTTTCTTTATAAAGAAACTAAAATCACAGTGCTCATATAAATAGAAGATGCCTCTATGAGGTGTTTGCATAAAGTGAGTTTTGATTTGACTGGCACACTTTTTACTGATACATACTTATATGTACTAATACATATTATATAAATGTATATATGATTTGCACAATTGGATGATTACACTAAAAACCAAAGAAATGTGCTAAAAAAAATGAGATCTAACAGTATACACTCCCATTTCTAAAACCCGGTCGCCCCGAGCATATGACGTATTTGTTCAAAACTCATCCAAAACGTCAATGACCAAGGAGCCATACGGATCCAAACAGGAAGGAACCCTTTATACAGAGCTAAAAGCCCTTCATTTTCAACAGTCTTAATCAAACAGTCCATAGATCCTTTATACACCAAACCACTGGAAATAAAATCAAAAAAGTAAATTAAAATTATTAGTACTAGCTATAAAGATTATTGTTATACAGAGTTTGATCACATCTTAGGTGTAACTTTACGATAAAAACTAATCAAAAGTCATTGGAATAGTATTATGTTTGTTGAATGTTCATGTGCGTGTACTATTTAGTGAGTTTAGGCAAATTTTTATTGGTTTTATTTTTATTTATACAACAAATAATAGTTTTAAAATATTGAGCTATTTAAAAATATTTTTTTCCGCCGTTAAAAATAATCAGCTGTTTAAAATAAAAATTTAATTAATTTAATTATATAAACTTCTATTTAAAACATTTTTTTATTTTAATTACTTTTTCTATTTTTGTTAATTAAAAAAATTATTTAGTTAAAATTGAAAATTTATTTAAATAATTTTTTAACCAATTTGTAAAAAGGTATTTGAAGTTATTATTGAAATTATAGTAAAATTTGATTTATAATTTAAATTTTAATTTAAAATAAATTATTTACCCGTAACTGGTACAGCGATAAGAAGCCTAATAACATTTACATTGGTAAGTGATGTGTGATACCACACTAGACCAGTTACGGGTTTATTTAAATAATGTTCAGATTTGGGGCAAAGTTACATTCTTGTTGCAATCAATCCTCATGTTACGATATCTGTAAAACAACATACATGCCATTTTTATCAGTCGGTTGATTCATAATACGTGTTTTTACTACGTCCGCCGGTGTTCCCATCGTTGCAGCAACCAAACCGGCACAAACACTAAAAACGTTAGTCAACAAATCAATTTTTTTTCTTAATAAGAAAATAAGAACAAGAATAATACCTAGATAAACAGTGTAAGAGATGCGAGTCAGGTAGTCCAGTTTTTTGCATAATTATTTGTTTAGCAGTATCATAAGTAGTCAAATCCCCTAGATTTACAAGCGCAGCTCGTTGTACGTTTGGTATCGAACCCTTCCACAGACCACGTACGCCACTTTCAGATACAATCTTTTTAAATGCGTGAGCAGCACCCAACACCCTATAATTCAATACATTAGACAATGTTTAACCAAAAGTATAAAACTTAAAAATAAAACATTATATAACCTGTTGTCATAATTAAATAATTTATCTACAGGTCATATTAGTATCTAGTAACAAAATTATGGGAATTTTTCAGTTAATATTATCACTTTCAATACAATAAAAATGTAATAATTTTAAAATAAAAGATTGATAACAGTAACGACAAAATCATAATGGCAATTACTCTCTTTGTGCAAGATAAAACTAATATTTTTTTACCTGTAATATATATTTCCTTTAAATTTATAAATAGCTTATCACGGGAAAGCAAAACTGTTAACAAACTAAATAAAATAAAATTGCCAATTTTCATATTACATTGTAATTTTAATTTTACTAAAAATCTAAATATTTAATAAAATAAAAAAAAATTTTACTTTAAATAAAGCAAAAATATCATACACTGAAATAATGGACGACCTTAAGCATCAAACTTTAATGAACAGGAAATAAAACATTACTAGGAATTGCATAAAGTATACTAATTAGTATAATATATTTTTTAACAATATAGTATTAAGTAAAAATAAGTATTGTGCAAACCGTGTTGCAAAGTATTAGCTTTTGGCTGAGGTCCGAATTTTTGAATTAATTGTATTGCTTTTTTTCTTTCTGCTTTACATTTTCGGCCATCTTTGTATAACTTTGTTTTTTCAGATTTAAAAAAAATTACATTACCAACTCAAACCTGTCTTTATTATTTTGTCACAAAATATATTGTATTGTTATAAAAATTAACTAAAATGTTATACCTAGGAGGTTCTCCCAAGAGTCTCCGTTTACCCTCCATTTGAATCTGAACTTTGATTAAGTCTGCTGGACTCGCTATATATTGAGCAATTGCTCCAGATACCACTCCGCTTATGGCAGATTTCCTGAAAAAATAATGTCCATGTATTTATGTGATATGTACTTCAGTATTAAACTCAGTCTCATTTTACCATATTGGAAATGACCCATCAGGATTTTTCATCAATACTCGGTCACGCATTGTTTCGTAAGATACGATTCTAATACCTGAATAAACGACATGTCTGTACAATGCTGGTGGAATTCCTTGCCATAATTTTAAAGCACCTTCTTCGTTTACAATTCCAATAGCAGTTTTTAGCATGCCACGGTATTGAGTAGGTTTCCCACTAGCAGCGACAGCTTCACCTTGAATCTGTAGACGGGTTTTGGTCAAATCTAACGGGTACGTAACTGAAACGAGAATTGGAATAATAAACAACAAATTTTATACTCAAACATTATAATAATCAATGATGGTTTTTAGCGGATAAGATTGAAATATGAAAAAAAATCATATTTACGTAATTCAGCAACACTCGCAGCCACCACGGAAATAATGTAAGTACACCAAAAAGTATCAGCATAATTGTACCCTTTTGTAGCAGCCGGTGCTTTTTCTTTGATTGTGACTACTTGCGTGTGCACCATTGTAAGGCCGGTGGTGTACTTCAATTTTCATCAGAAACGTTACAAGACTGGTGTTTACTAAAAAGCGACGCTGTTAAATGGGAGTAAAAAAAACTTCCATAAGTATATAGATTATTTACAAAGCCATTACTCATTACAATAATTAAATACAAAGATTAGATACCTACATACACAATTATTATTATTATTATTATAATACAATATAATATTATACTGTACTATTATCATACAATAGGTACAGTTAAATCGAATGCAATAATAGACTATGGACTTTATTCGCGTCGGTTGAACGTTTTAGTTGAGCAACAGCACTTACCATTTAGAGTATTTGACCCTGTATAGTTTTTTTTTGTATTTTGTAAACGTTTAAATAAGTTAACTAATAGGTATGACATTCAAAGTCGACCATCGTTGCAACGACACTGAGGAAATTCGTACAGGACTGATAATCAGATAAGGAGTAAAACGACCATATGATTTTTTGCACATGATAACGTGACGTTGACCGTTGACGCCATCATTTTGTTATTAAATAATAGTAATAATGTAATATAATATATTATTATAGACATTATTAACTACCGTTATAGACATCACGATATTAATAGGTACCTATTAAATGTACGGGTAATGTTTTTATAAATGTTATTTCTTTTTGTTGAAAATCATTAATGTATAACCATTATTTCGTTGTATTATTACCTACAGGCCACACATTTCATTACCTATTTATATTCCTTGTTGTATGCGCTTGACTGTTCGTCGATATACGAGTGACCTGTGCGTACTGCGTACGGTAATTTGTATTTATTATTCAGTGAAATTAATTTACGGTCTACAGACTATAATTATTATAATCCCCTGTCTTGTTGTAGGTACATTAAAGTATAGGTGGAACGTACACGCGAAACGCAGTGAATATATTTTGATTTGGGCTGTAACCACCCTTAATACAAACTATATACACTTAATATACGCAGTCTTGTTTACATTCTATAAAACTTTAATGAATATTGACTAGTTTTGATAGCGTTAAATTATGTTTTTACGGGCGTCTAGAAAAAAAAACGATTTTTATTAATCGTTCGTACACCTAATATAACACCGGCACTCAAAATATTTATCAAAAAAAAAGAATATTTTAGGTTATACGATATTTTTAACCACTCATTTTTTTCATTATATGATTTCTTTTTTAAAAACAAAATCATTAATACAGGACGAAATATTGAATAGAGCAAAAAGTCCTTGGGAGGATAAAACTTTCTTGGATTTTCTGGTAGACTGTCGCTCGTCTTGTGTATGAAAATAAATTGAGGTTATTTTTATCCTATAACGTTACTTGTAATTTAGGTAATTGACATGTTATTTTTTAATTTAATATGTGAAAATTGTAACCAGAACGGTGGATTGGAAAGAGAAAGGCGTGATCAACTTTATGTACAATTATTATAGTTTTAATCGAAAATAATTAAAAATATTATACTGATAACAAAAAATTAACATAGTCGCAGTAATTTTATTTTAGCGTGGCAGGCTAATATAGAGAAAAATAAATGTTTTTTTTAAATCCGATCACTTGGATTTGACCTTAGATATATTGAAAAAAGCTGGTATTTTAAACAATCTAATAATTTTTTTAAGTAATCGATAACAAAAAATAAATTCTTAAATAAACTACATTTTTATCAACATTTAGTTGATAACAAAGAAAAATGTATTTGCGCTACTTTACTCAAATCATTAGCAGTTTGTTATAAATTATGTTAGGTACCTATTATTTTTTGAAATATCAGCTAGTTTGAAAAAAAAAAATGACAGTTTATTTTTAAATATTAATATTATTCAAATGTAATTTCACGGGAAAAATACATAGTTGGGCGTTTAGTTGAAATAACTGATTATGTAACCAACTAAAAAATCTGGTTGCCACCATATATTATATTAGTTAGGTATATTTTTAGTTAAACCGACTACATATTTTTTTCGTGTTATTGTATGTAAATTTTAAAACATTTCTCAAAAATTAATTTTACCAATGTTACTAACGCTATAAAAAAACTTAGTACTTCGTGACATCTGGTATAATTTTTTATGAAGTAGACTGAACACTATAGTCACTTATGTGTAATAGGTTTGTACCTAAATAAGTACTATATAAAGTGAAATGTCGGCCGACCAAGACCATTACAGATAATAAGTCTAATACTAGATTAGTTTATAAGTAGCACGTGCATGCGATATTAAATTTATTAAATGTAAACGACCTCTTAATTTAAAATTGAAATAAACATGTATTGTAATTTTTTAAATTTGTACAGACGAGATTCGCAGCCAGTATTTTAAGGTTATCATTTTGTTTAAAAAATGTATTACATAATAATTAGAGATAATTTTTAGTTTCTGTATATTTTTGTACATAATTCATCAAGTGGAATCAAATAATTAGGTAATGTTGAAATAAGTATTATTAAAAAATACAATAATTAACGTTCAGTTTTTAGTTTGACAGTTTATGACTAGGGTTTGTATTCAAATCAAATAATTGTATAGTACATTTTGAAAAAGTTTAATTATTATTTAAATTCGATTAGTTTGAATAATTATTAGTCGTACTGTACTATCCAAAAATTCCCATCACTAGACTCTACGCCTTTGGGTTACTATATATATATATATATATATATATAATATTATATAAATAAAAACTCTGAGGCAATAAACATTTCAAAATATTTTTTTGCTCGAACTCGATAAATGAACGAAACTGAAATGAAAATTAAAGACGATTTAATATGCTTTAAATATGATGACATTTGTGATTATTCGTTATGCGAGCACTTCGTTTTAAAGAAATTCCGAAAATATAAATAAATATTTTCCCATAGTAGAAAGAGAATAAAACTATATTAATATATCACTATTAATAAATTATGTATTTATCATGTTAGAATGAAAACGGCTTAGTTTAGTATGATCATAAAATAATTCGTACAACTACACTATATAAATATTTAATGGGTGTAATTTCAAACATAAAGTTGGCAGGTGACACTAATATCGCAAAATTAAAATGTATTAAAATTTGCTTATGAGACTATAACGTGTTACCTGAAATTGGCATTGCTTCAACATTGCAGCATACCAATTATTTATCTTACAAGTTTGTTTACCCAAAATAATGATGGAGATAATTGATTTCTTGAAAATAATAATTGTTACTGGAACGTCGTAGTTCTTTCGATCACTTTTTTTACGGTTATTAAATGTACTAGTAGGGTTTAATTATTTTGTGTCTAATACTGTCTAATTACTGACAATTTTTTATAATATGTATTGGCACAATATGACACATTGACATACCATAAAAATTTAATCGAAGCGTTTTATACTATAAGATATACAAACAATACATGTTGTTTAATTTATATACAATTGTTAATTCTTTTACTTTATAATTGCGTAATTAAATATAAGTTATAGTTTAAACGTTATAACGATAAGAAGTTTTAAAATGCATAAAAACATTTAATATCGCAATAATATTGCTATTTTAACAATTATCGTTGTAAAGAAATTATTTAACCATATTCGATTATATAACAATAAATTGGTAAATACACTATACAATTTGGTTTTATAAAGCTAATATAAGTACCGTAATGGATTCATAAAGAGTCAAAGAATAAAATGGCTAGGGCATGTTATGCGGCGTAACACAGATGCATTAACAAGGTAGTATTAAATTGGAAGCCGGAAGGAAGAAGGCCACGGGGTCGTCCTCGGAAAAGATGGATGGATGTCGTGGAAAAAGATTTGGAGGACCTTGGAGCACAGAATTGGAGGGAGATCGTGCAGGATCGAGATAAGTGGGGTGATTTAGTGATGGCGGCAAAAACTCTTGGAGAGTTATGAAGGCCGGAAGAAGAAGAAGAAGAAGTACCGTAATTGTATTAGCTATATGCATAGAACCTTTAGAAGCAAAAAAAAAAATTCTGGATTTCCGCTTTTTTTAAATTATAAATAACAAGTACAATTTTTTTCATTTATATTTAAAACATATAATATTAAATATCATTGACGTTTGTATTTTATTTAAAATAAAGTTAAGTTTATAGAATTGTCGAATACATTAAGTTTTTTAATTAAATTATATGCATGTACCGTTAATTTGTTTGGATTTAATTTTTGAGGTTTTTATTTTTCAAAATTAAGTTACTATAATTTAATGTGTGTGAATATATAAAACTTTATTTTTATTTTTTGAATAGTATTAAAAATTGAATTGCATGTTTATAAGTTAACATGATTAGTGTTGTTAAATTGTCATTTAAATAACGTCTAGCCTAACGCACACTTATTACCGCTGGAGTACATTAAAATAGTATTGGTTGAGTACTATTTTGTTAACAAAATACAATAATATGACCTATATCAGTTCAAGTGCTATTATTTTTGACATTTATTAAGTATAGAAATCTTAACTTCCCTGTCCGTTTTTTAATAATATTTTGTGCTTCAATAAAAATTCCAAAGTTGAACGTTATAGTGCTATATATTTTTAGTTTAGTACCATTAAAATACTTTGGATGCTTAATTTTGTTGGATATCACAAAACTATGAAGTAGTATATATACATAAATATTATATATAAGCATGCCACATAATATATAAAAACACTCAAATTCGAGGCAAAGCACTTTTAACGACAGTCCAATGTCTACGCTCAAAACGACAGTAGTTTACATTGTAAACATTCGAATTATTATACTATTTTAAACCAATTTCAATCGCTTGTCAATGGCGTAATGATCCATATTGCTGTCTGAACTGGGTGAACTATTAAAATAATAAGCAAGTCCGATATGTATAGTTATTAACGACAACTTATAATTATTCAGTCGATGGTAAATGCTACAGTTCATTAAAATTCTTATTTATTTGATAACTCTCGTGGAATTATTTGCGATTTTTATTAATTTAAATATGATTTATAGCTTATTTATAATATATTATTTTATAAAAATATAATGTGTTTTGGTAATAACCCTAAACATTTTGTCGAACGAATTGATTTGTTTAATATTATTGCAAAATATTTTAAATACTATCACTGGTTAAATTAGGATTCGTTATGAAGATTTTAGCGGATATATAAATTCAGATTTAAGCGGGATACTATTCATTTTAAAATGTTAAATAGTGTTTAAGAAATAATGTATTTAAATAGGGACAATTTGGATTAGATGAAAGGAAAACGGAAGAAATTAAGACAATAACATTATTACAGTCACTTAATCGTTGACCAAACTCATTCACAAATCTAAAACAAAATCTAATCACAAACACATTGACTGGGCGATAAAATCACTTTCAAATGAACGCTTCGATGTGAAATGTAAACATGCCCAAACCATCTCAGTCTGTAGAATTGTAGATAGTAAAAAATATTATGATCAGTTATATATTATATTCAATCAATGACAAGCAATGCAAATACATATTGACCATACAAATAATACCAGAGCTTATCATCCGTCATTGTATTTACTTATATAAAACTAATCGATCACGTATGTTTATAAATATCCCTTTTGACTGGGTATGGGTAGTGTGTAAAAAAATAATATTTTAGTATCGCAAAATGTTTATGGTAAATATAGCCGAGTAGGATAAAATCCAAAAACCGACAAAAATAGTTTATAAAACTGAAATGCTTATCCAAATTTTAGAATTTGAGATTTTCCAAGCTCAAAACACGATGTGGATCAAATAAATTTTTGGTAAGTATATGATAATTTTTTTTCCAAGTGAAATAATAATTATTATAACGTTTTTGGGACCCTGAACTGATAGGAACTTTTTTGTTGGCAGAAATTGATACGTCCTTTTCTCAACTTTCGGGAAAATAAAAAGATTAATGGATACTAAAATTCTAAAACTGTTTTATTGTTTCTTCAAATTTTAGGTATAAATATATTGCTTATGATACCAGCAATTTAAAACTGAACTAAAAATTGATTGTTGGTTAGTATACATATTTTATACATAGTGCTAACAGATTTCATGTTACACCTGACTTCTTTTCGATGATATACAACAATTTTTCAAAAATGACCTATATAAAATAGTTTTGATTTTTATAAATCAATAATACTTTAAAGTTTTTGTTTATTTTTTAGTCAGAAATGAGAATTGGAGGGTAACTTTTAAAACTTAAATGGTAACGTGTACAGTTTTTAGTCATTACTTTTAAAGTTTAGTAAAATTTAGGACAGTAGGTGTCTGATGGAGTGCGGTTGAGTAATGTAAACAGACAAAAAATTTACTACACTCCACCTTTCTTCCCGTCATACATTTTAACCCTAATAACTTTAAAAGCAATACCTCGAAACTAGTTATCGACCAATAAAAATGTCAGCAAATTATTCTTAATTTAAAATTCAAAAAAGTTACGTATCAACTTTTGCCATCTTACCATAGATTTTTATTTGCGATTTATTCGAATAAAATATTATCTTCTCTGTACAATTACGACGTTATTAGATTTGGTTTTCAGATTCTATTTGTTATTTAATTCTACCGAACTCCGACAGCAGCGGACGGCCCACTCGATTGTTCTCAGATTCGGGCAAATAGTCAGGCGGAGACAATTTGATGGACATGGAAGATGTAAGTACACTATTGTGAGAAAAGTGACATTACTCGGTTGGGTTGGAAGCGTAGACACAGGATTAACCACGTGACATCACACAGGCTAGGTAGGTGGTATAGCGGGAAACCGTGTGGGGCAACACAGCAGAGTGAATTGTGTTCAATATAATTTTGTAATTGTGTTAAGATCTACTCGGTTCGGTGTAACACGAGTGGGCTATACGTCGAGCCTTGTATATAATGTAATACCTTACCGTGGATTGAGTTAAAAGCAATGGGGTTAAGCCGGTTTTAGTTTTAGACACTTGTGGAAAATCGAAGGAGCTCGCCTGACTGGTTACACGACATTATAATGTTATTATAATGCTGACACGTTTGGTTTACCTGCTGGCGGAGCCGATGTTCGAAATATTTTTTTATTATCTCCGTTACCTTAGACATTTTTTTTAGTCCACTTAACTCTTTTCCCCCTCACACTATACAACGAACGTGACTTGATTTTAGCTTTACGAATTTATAACAGTGTCTTCTCCCGCTATATGGAGAAATCATATTATTTTTCCACCTATTTGTTTTGCGCAGTAAACTCGCCCGAAAGAAGACAAGTCGTGTACCGCAAAAAGCATTTTAGCTGCACATGTTTAAATATATAACATTACTATAATAAAGGCTGCACCTTTTTTTACTTTGTCTTTATACGCACACACAGACCACAGTGTTTTATTACATAAACAAACTAATTTCTACCCGGGTTCAAACTTTTAATTATATTTTTTTTTTGGTTTCAAAATTGTTTTGCCCTCAATCACAATTGTGTAAGTAAAAAAAATGTCCATCAATCATAACACCGCGAGATTCAAGGGTCTAAAAAAGACATTTATTGTTTTTATTAAAATGGAAATTTTGTGGTATTTTGAGAATATTATAAAATCATATTTATGAGTATTTTTCTAATTGGAAAAGAAATGAACAGTTTCCTATTTTGTATGGCCTCGACTCACTCCTAATCTTAACTCCTTAATCTTCTGTATAATTTCGTCGCTATATTTAAAACTATGGACAGGGTTAGTTCCGTTAAATAAATTTGTTTAGAAGAAAGTTTTATAGATGCTTCTAATAATAAAAGGAATACACATATATTAACTATCCTAATTAAGGAGGAAATTAATTAGGTTATTAGTTAAAATTCGTAAATCTGGAAAACACAAATATAAATAAAAAATGTATTAAAAAGTTTTCGTGGGTCTATAAAGTTTAGAGGAAATAACAAAAAAAAAAAAGTTTCATTTTAAAACCAATATTTATTCAGCATGTTAAAGTAAAAATCAATGAACTTGTTTTTACATTTTATTGGCTTTTACAAAAACATTAACACTTATTTTTCACTTGCCAATTTTGGATTTATTAAGTGTTTCGGTATAATATGCAATTTTTGACATCATTTTAGTTTAAAACTAAACGATTTTTGTACATTTTTTTATACAAAATCGAGCAGTTTTTAAGGGTATTTTTTAATTTAACTAGACTATCAGTTTAGAAACAAACAAAACTAACTTAACAGTTAACTATTTTTTTTTTATTATTTTGCTTTATTATTAATTATTTTCAATATTTTGCGACTTTGTTTTAAAATAACCGTAGTAACCATCTAGCCAACTGTGTTTGAAGACATAACCTTATTGGCTACAACTATTTTTAGAAAAATGAGAGCTGTCCGAAAAGTCGTGTACGATTTTCTCGAGAAGCTAAATTAGAATCGTTAAATTTGATCGCACCCTAATGACACACAGACCTCTTTAACGACTGCTTGCCGGGCCTCCAAACTTATAATCGGTAAATTTAGCAACGCCAGCAGATCACTATAAACTTCTTATTGTATAAAACGGCACTGCCGTTATCATTTGGACGGGATGTCCATAATAATTGTATTTTTTCTGTAATTCGTATAGACGGTTTTATTCCAAACGATTAATCATTTAACATATTGGAACATAAATTGTCATCGATATGAGCTTTTACTTGATTCTAAAATGTATAATTGTAATTGTACTTCGCGGGAGTATAGTATTATCTTGTGTACTGTTTTCATGTCTCATTATTATGTAGCCTAGATTAGCGGTATTAAACAAATGCTGTAGGTGAGTTGCGGCCCGGCAGTTTTCGATGGACGTGCAACCTTTTTTATCTTGAAACTTTTATCGCCAATTTAGTTATACAGGTGATTTTTTAAAAGAGATCCACTCAATATCCTATAGGATTTAATTAGTTTAACTACATTTCACCAGACGCGACGTTCGGGGGGAACGTCGCGATTAATAATATAGTCTGGCGACTATATTATAGTACAATAAAATGTTGCATACAGACCAATGATCGTGTCGACTACCATTATTTATTAAAACCATCAACCTATGTTTATTTATTTTGTCTATAATATTTATCTTGTATTTGATTTAAACTTGTTATAATTATAAACAGCATGTCACCAAACATAGTGTCGAATGCGTTGCAGATGTGCGAGCCAACGAACAATGTCGGTCAGAAAAAACTAGGCCTCTGGCTGGTTTCGTGTACTTCGTTACAAGTTTTGTATGAGGTTAGGTGGAAACGGAAACGTTTCCAGTGACCTGGTCGTCCAGCCTGTTGACACGAGGTTGGCTGAGGAACGGGGTTGTGTTCAGGCGGTACGAAACCCTCCATCGAGGATTCTGCCACGTTTAAAGCCAGGCTCGCAAGCTTCAAGGCTGTATCCAAGCTTTTAAGAAAAAAACAGGTATCTCGGCTCTGTTTTATGGTAGAGGATTTTATTCAGAGTTTTAACATACCACCAGTGAGCATGTGAGTTGTGTGCGCAGTTAACTTACACATTTTTGATGATTAGATTGGTAGTACTACGTTCGAATTATTAAATTGTAATTTGTAAGATTTATCATATTATTTCAATAATATAATGCTAATAAATACATTTTTTATTAATTATTTACATATTTTATGAATTTATTTAAAATAAATATATGTATATTTTTAAACTCATCTTGGAACTTGCTTCTTAATTTGGCGTACAGAAAATCTGTGTAGTGTATTTTCCGATCAACTAATTAAAAATTGTTACTAAAATGTCCACAAGAAAATAATTTATATACATATCATTTTACTATTTAACATTTGAGTTTTATACAAAATAAATACCTAAATCAAAAATCAATTACAAAACGTAAATTAACGTAACTAAAACTATTGTACTAACTAACTCTAAACTCGTAAGATAAATAATTTACGTTAATATTTGTATTACATAATGCAAGCTAAAAAAACAATAACATTTGGTAACTAAATAATTATACAATATATAGTTTAATGTGAATTGTTTGTAGCTAGGTAAAAGACTGCACGAGCTAAAGTAAAATAAACAATAATAACGAAAAGTAAAAGCTTAACAACACGCATGTTAGGTACACATTAGTTTTTATATTGAAATGAAAAATTGAGGTTATAAAAACAAAACGAGTTTATTTGTACAGCGTCATTTTTTACAGTTAACATAATATAATAAACAGTGCACTGTATATTGTGTCCAAACGAAAAATTGTTATTTCTTCTTATAGCGCCGGACAATATTAGACGGTGCCCTTGTATCAAGATGATTATTTATTTGTTTATTACACAGCCATTTAAACATTATGATATTAATGTCTATTGAATAAACGTCAATAAACGCAATGTTTGTAAAAATTGTTTCTTTTTTTTAATGTTTTAAATGGACTTAAGTATAAAGCATTGTTGTAAGTTATACATTAAAGGTTATTGTTACGATTATGATTCACATAATTTTTTACTAACTTTGAAGTCAGAATTCAATAGAAATGATTTTTTTTTATAATTTGATTTAAAACTCTTGAACTTTGAACTATTTAGCCAGAAGAATTGACTTTTTTATGTAAAATTGTTTTTATTGTTAACATATTTTTTTTTTTGTAATCAGATATGAATTTTAGTCTACATTCTATTGTGATCAGACTGTTTAGTGTTTTTCATTATATTTAACAGGTTTTGATGACACATCTTAAATTTATTGTTTTTATCTGATTGGTGCTTAAAGGCACCTAATTAAATATGTGGTAGTTTTCTGTGTGTATCGTGTATTCTAAGTGTATTTCAACTGATAACACTGACTATTAAATAAAATGATAAGAAATCCAAAATATTTTGAACAAACAAAGAAACGTACAAGATGACTATTGGTAAAATATTATACAAACAGATATTGCAATCGTGGGTCAATATATACAATACAATGTGTGTACACATAATGGCATTAGGGCTACCTGACAAACCGGAAAATCGATACCGTTTTTAAATGACCCACGCCACTTTGGTGGGCCTGTCCGTGGACAAATGACTGGGCCCGATCACGCTGACCGAAGCCATTGGCCCGCTGTGGGCCTCCGGCCCGGGTCAATCGGGGTCGTACTTGCAGTCTATGCGCACTAGAGCGGCAGTGGCCATCAGCGTGACCACCGTTAGCGATATGAGTATGGCGGCCAGCACAGCAATCTGGCCACTCCGGAACAGCGACCTGGCTGACACGTACAGCAGGGCGGCGTGCAGCAGACAAGCGACCAGCCACAGCGAGGTAAGCGTCGCCGCCGACCGGACGGTGGGCCCCAAGAACCGGAACGGCTGTAACCGCGGGTTACACTGGACTGACCGGTAACCGCTGAAACCGTGGCTCGTGTAGATGCTGGCGGCTGAAAAATATTCATTAAGATAAGATTTTGTTGATGTACATAAAAGTCTAAATTAACATAATGTGAAAAGAAAAACAATTAATTTTAATAACCACTTTCGTCATCTCCAACGTAATTATTATAATACAATAGGTACTGTGGTAAGCTAATAACCGTTTTCGTTGATACTTAAAACTAATAACACACAAAAAAAAGTCCTAAAATTACACGATAAGTACAATAGAACCCCACGGAAAAATAAGGGAGCGTTTCAAAATTCATAAGCTCATAAGCTCATAACTTCATACATTTTGCTCGAGCGTTCAAAAATTAGTATGCGTAATATAATTTAAATTATAATAGGAATATTATATTTTAATTAGAACAATTTTTCTCTAATTACCATATTATATAAAAATTAGGAAGTCCTAAAACTACATCTGAAACGCGAATTAAAAAAATTATTTCTACCCTTTCTGGGAGAAAGGGTTAATGATTTTTTCTCTGGTTTTCGAAGGCGCTCACAGGTGGAATTTCAGGGGACCTAATTTACATTAAAAATTAAAAACACTATTATTAATGTGTATTTCAAAAATAATATTATCATAAGCAAATCGTATAGATATTATATCATATTGCATTTTTACTCTTACTAACTAATTGAACACACGATTTTGGGATATTGGATACATTTTTTTAATGTATCCAAAATTAGTTATTGCGTTCCGTTATTAGACCAATGTGTAATTTTTTTAGGATGTTTTAATAGACTTTGAACATATTAATAATATAGTATAAACAGTGAAAAACATGTATGAATGGGTATTATTGTTATCTAACAGTACACACCGGTAAATTATCCAAACTATTTCGGAATGAACACCTTAAAAGGAAATATACAGTGATTGACGGAGAGGAGTTGTGATGACAACATAGGATCTTGATAAGTTGTTAAGCTACGAATAAGAACCACAAGAACGAATAAGAATTGTCCTGCGCCAATTCTGATAACGGCAGAAATCATTAATTTCGAAACAGATTTTTGCCAAAATATTATTTATAATTGTGATGTATATGCACAGACAATTCAATAATATCAGTCTGACCTGCGCGGAAAAAGAGTTTATATTGTATACTAAAATTAAATCTATACACAACTTTTCACACACGTCCAAGCGCAGAACGACGAAATCAAATTATATACCCGAAAAATAAAACAATTTCGGGTTTCAAGGACACGTTTCGTGTATAATAAAATGTGCATCCTCTTTCGTTGAATATTTGTTAAAAATATTATTAAGAAACCCTTTGAAAATAATCAATCAATCGTGTAAATAAAAATGTTGTTAGCGTAAAAATATATAGACAGTAAAAAACTATATTTATTAAAAAAAAAAAATTGTAAGTCAACAATAATTATCATTGATGCCGTTAATCGTTCGGTAAAACGATGATAATCATTGCATTGGTTTAGGTTTAATGCTTTTTTGGCACATTTATAATATGGGGTAATCAATTCGGCTAGATTCGACTGCGTTGTCATTAATGGATAAAACTGTTATGCCAAAATATAAACGCGGTTCGCAATAAGAAGGCTCACTCAATAGATGACAAATGTAATATATTACCGTCAAAGTAAACCGTAACGGTGATTAGTTTTTAAATTATTTTTTATTACTAAATCAACATGTATCATTATCAGTTTGTTTTTCTATTGCTATAATGACATTCATAACATCGCGAATAGGTGATTAATAAAAAAAAACAAACATCAACAATGGAAAATCGTTATGAATAAATTATTATTAAAAATTAGTAAACGCAGTAATAGAAGTTTTTTAAACTATTATTGTCCGATCCTGTTTTTTTTTCCTTAATCTTACTTCCTGAAAATATTCCCCTAAAGCGATTATTTGGTGCGGGCATGACGTTTAGTGCTGCTACAGTACTTAAATATATAATAAATCATTTTTTTTGTGGCACGACTGTCTCTGGCTTCATAGAAAACGACCAATTTAAGTTTTAATCACAAAAAAAAATTGACCGTCAAGTTTCTAAAGTACGATAAATGAAGTACACCAATATTTTTATAAAGTAGAATAAAAAATTGCCACCTTTAAGCGTCTGTGTTTTTGTAAATAATAATAGGAAATAATAATTTTTTTTTGTTTGACAGCATAATATATTTTCATTAGTGTAACACTGTAACATTATAATTATAGTTTATTAAAGCTTGTTGAAATTTCAACGTTTTTTTTTTTACTTAATTTGATTAAGACACATTAGAGGCACGTGCCCGTTCTTTTATGCTTGGTGTAAGCTGGATTTTTTAAAAAATTATTTAGCAAAATTTATCATTTGTGTATTGTGTACAGGTACTATTCGTCTGTTTTTGGCCATATCACATGTATTTCCCGGTTTTATATTTTGTAGCAGTACCTACATCAGTCGTGTGTAAACAAATGTCAATATCTCGACTATTTAAGTTTAATCAAGACTTATGTATTTATATAGAGTCAATGTGATCGGTGTTAGCGGATAGACAGACTGAAAACATGGTATTTTTTTCTTTGTGCATAATATTAATATTGATTATTATGATCGTTATTAAGTTGTATACGATAATAGTAATTATACGACAACGATATAATAACAAAAAAAACAAGTTATTGCGATTCACACTTTGTTTGGTAAATATGTAATTATAATAATCAGCGTTTAAGTGTATGTTTATAACGTCCATTTTAAATAATTATTATATAGCCATTTCCCATAGCATTTAGATGATAATATATGTCGTTGTTTTGAATATATAAGTACATTTTTTTATTGATCTCTGATCGACCACTTTGACTGTTGCCTTGGTCTCGAAATTGTATCTTTTGGACTAGTATAATAGCAGTTGGCTTGTTGTATAAGCGGAAATCCGCATCACTGGTATTGTGCCTAATAAGTGTTTTTTTTTTAAATTTTATCTATTTTTTTTTTAGCAAAAGTAAAACGGAACGAAGAAAAATTGTATATTTTGCCCATTTCTGGAAACTTATTTTTCATTTGGTTATTTTTGTAGACAATAGTGAAAACAATTTTAACGTGTTTTGGGCATCGACAAAACCAAAGAATTCATTGTTTTTATTTACGCCTCGCCTTGGGTTGTACATTTTATTTGTAAACTCAATACTTTACCAATTTAGTAGATGTCGTTTTTAGGTTAATGTTTACATTAATAAATTAAAAGGTCTCAAAAAGCCTATTGAAATTCACCAAGGTATGCAAGTTGGGAAAAACGCTTTGTACCCTTAGCCTTTTTAATATTGGTTGATCTTTTCGTTAGTTAATATTTGTCCTGACTAACATTCCATAAGCGGAAACCGGATTGAATCGGAATTATGGCTAAGATTTTTTTTTTTTAACTAGAGAATACAATGTTATAAAATTGAAGACAACGGTTAGTGGCTTAAGATACTTCGGGCATAATTCTATTGTTATTTGTTGTTATCTAAAACGAAACTGTACCGATGAAAATAGTATAAATGAACGTTGAAATTCTAAAGCAAACTGATAATAGATAGGCGTGGGTTCAACAAATGTATATCTCTAATGTTCAGCGTGATAAAGGCATCCTATATAGAAATGCTGTCACACATTATCAACAGTGACTGCCTTGCGCTACTGTATCGCCAAGTTATTAGTTTGCAATCTACAAAACTTATAGAATGTTCTCGTCATAACTATAGATTTTTTTTTTTTTAATATGCCTATTATTTTAAAACTGTTTAGCTAAACACGCAAAAATGAATAAATTCGTTTCGATAGTATTAGGATTATGTGTTGTTGACGTTTGGGGTTTTGATCCTTTGGAATCCAAGTACGGACAGCTCGTGTTTTCTTCCGTGGTAAGTATTCTGATTATTTTGAATTTATCTATTTTTTTTTTTTTTGTAAATAAAATGTACATAATTGTTACCTATTTTTATTTGAGAGCGGTCGCACGCATACATGTTTTAATAGTCCTGCTCCAATGGAAAAGCTACCTCTAGAAAATGTGGATATGGATTTCTTTCAATTGAAAACCAATTTGTGTGCAATTCGTATCGAACGCTGAACTTATGGTCCTTTAAGAATGGAAAGATAAATAATAATAATAGTTATTAATCTTACCAGAACTGTAAGAAATTTATCGCAACCTTCACGACCATTCACGTCCATTGTTTTTGTTTTGATCACATTCAAAATATTTGTTTGGAGACAATTAAATCTATGATGTATTATTATAACTTTTCATTGTACGAACCCAAAGCAGTATCGCCATCTATTTTCATTTCATTACTTAATATATACTAGATATCGTATGTTGTGCTGACAATTTCTTCATACACTCTTTACTCGACCGATGTTTAAGAACAGTGGCTTATACGTGGATTTTGTTTCAATTTTTTTAACAAATTCAACTTTCGAAATTTAAACTTTACTTGTTGCTTACATTGTTACAGTTGTGGTTTTAGTAAAAAAAAGTCAAACTGATTAGTGGTTTTCATTATACAAGACTGTTATTGGCGTTTTTACGTGTTTAGCATATAGTTTTTACATAATATATAAATAAAACAAAGAACATTTTCACATATTTTATTCTGTCGTGGAAAATTAAACGTGAAAGCTGAGCGTAACGAGTTCCGTCGATTAATATGAAAACAGAAAAAATGCAAAACGTTACGCAGATATTCGTACTATGGATCACATAAAAGCTGCACACAATTAATCAAATTTATTTTCCCTTTGAGTTTGGACGACATTTATCGATGCTAGTTTTCACTTATAAAATATTCTGTGACCTAAATATTGATTAATATGTCAACCCATTTTTTTCAACTTGGGCGTTATGTGCTAAATATTGTTAAAACATTTAACTCGGTCGATATATTTTATGTTGTCTATATTTTTACGACCGTTCAATTAATCTAAAATAAATATATATAAAATGAGTATTTACAAGACTCTTTATTGCTTAAAAACAGTTTATTTTTGTTGAGATAATTCTTTTTTGCGTTATTATTCCTCGAAGGTTCAATAATTTAAAAAAATATTACTGCTGGACTTGGGTTTGTGCATTTAAAGGTAGTCCTTTAAACTCGAGTATTTTAGATTGATTGTATATAATATTATTAGCACGTAAAAGATAATGATGATACTTATTAATCTACACAATATATTAGTCTTGTAATAAACACAATGAACACGGAATAAAATTTAAAATTAGGAAATGTTAATTTATTTGATAGTGTATCCGGTAACATTGTAGTGTCAACGATACTATGTAAGTCCAGTTAATCTTTTGGCATTGGATAGATTTGGTGTAAAATTCTTAGAATCGGGATTTAAACTTTTTAATTAACAACAAATTAAAAATAAGCGATCCGTTAACACTAACCCCTCCGATGGTTATTGCGAAAGTTTACGGTTTTATTGCTTTGATCTTGGAACGGATGACCGACTTAAAGGTTTTTGGGTAAAATAGGTTTGTCGAGTAATCGATAATAATTACATTTTTACTAGCTTATCGATATCACCCCGAAATCCAGTAAATGATTTGTTATTTATGTATAACACTTATTTTAATTATGTTTTTAGTTAATACCGACGTTAGTGCGAGCCCATAAGGTTTAATTATATTATATTTTTGTTTTACTATAGATTTACAGACATGGAGATCGAGCGATTTATGGTTCTTATGCAAATGACATTTGGGCTGACGAAAAGTATTGGCCGATGGGTTTCGGACAACTAACTGATGTGAGTTGCATTTTAAATGTAAAATTAAAAATACAAAATCTGTAACTATATATAGTTTAAGGCTATATTTAATGCAACTATATTGTTTAAGGCGTTAGTTTTGAGATTACGGCTTACTCATATTTGTGTTTTAATGTTTGTTCTGTTGAATGGATTTGGCCACGACAGGATTTTTAAAAAAGTTATAATATATTCTCGATGTTTCTCAATTTCAAGAACCTTGAACATTTTTCAAACTAGAATTTTATAAAAAAAAGAACCTAAAGGTCAACATGGTCACACATATGATATCTTGCTTTTTTTAATCACAACATCGTATTTAGTTAATCACATATTTACAAGTAAAACAAAGTCTAAATATTACAGATTATAGTGTGATTGTAGTAGACACTAACACTTTGGTTTGAAGTACAAAATAAAATAAATATTTATCGTTGTGTTATTCGAAGATAATAAACATTCTATTAGAATACCAAAATCAGTTATTCTAAGAAAAGAAAAGAATTCTTTTTCCGATTGCGATTTACCAATTTTAATCATCTCGAGTCAAGTAGGTATAAGTTTCAGTAAATGCATAAGTTTAAACAAGGAATATATAAGAGAATACTCCCCCTTCGGGTGTTTGAGATTTGAGATTGATATTATTTTGTTTATTTCATAATACTACTTTTTGTAACCTTTTTATCTTTTCTCCGTTTAGATCGGCATTAATCAACATTTGGAATTGGGAAAATGGCTGAAAGAACGTTATAGCGATTTTCTACCTGACCGGTATTCACCCGAAGACATATACGTGCGGTGTACCGATGTCGATAGGACCATAGTCAGTGCCTTGGCAAACCTGAAGGGCATGTATCCGCCTATTCAAGGACAAGAAGGTCGAGCGGAAAACTTTAGTCAAATTGTTCCCGTGCACACAGTAGCCGAGGGACAGGATAAAGTGCGTAAAACAAGTTTACCAATAACTTGTATATTATAATATATTCGGCAAACAACAATTTTTTACACCAACAAACGACCATGCCAAATTTGTTCTAAATGTTCGGTGCCTTTTCAAAAAAAAGGCAAATAAATCTAATTTAAATTTAAATATAAATTAAAAATTAATTTAGCGTGAAATCTGCTAAATATTTATAAGTGAAAACTTGTAAAGAGATTTTTTTTTTTGGTATTGTTAGTCTTTACTTAAACGTTTTGAATATCATTATTACCATAATAATATAGCGTTACTCTTGTGAGATGTTATTCTATTATACAAAATCATTACTGTATAAAATAGTATATATATAGCGTCGCGTTCAATCGAAACTAGTTATTAGATATAAAAATAAAAGACAGATTACATTTTACATTACTTCGTGAAAGTTTAAATTTCATTTGCGCCGAAAGTTTAAAAACAATTTCAGTTTCAGCGATCATAAAAAAAAAAGTAATTTCAAAATATATTGGAGTTTATTTTTACAATTGTTACTTACACAGTACTCGAATAATATCTTCGAAAAATAAATTGTTTTGGAATAAAATATATTATGACCGGTTTGTTATTGATGGTATAAAAAGTCTTTATTTCAGGAATTGTTATCAAAATTGGCCAAATTGAAAATTTTTATAAAATTGTATTTTTACATTTCATCAATATAGTACTAACTGAATATGCGTAGACAATGTCTATGTGTATTAGTGCTGATAAATTCAAAGCTAGAAACAATTTTAGTAAATCAGGAGCGCAAATGATTCATGTGACCTCGACACTTCTTGTCGATTAAAATAGCAGATATTTTTTTAAATCGCTCAATGGCTCCAGGCAGGCATTGATCGATACCGAAATGTTTGATAATATTATATTATTAGCAGCGTAATTAAGCAGTCATTAAACTCAGTCCAAACGGTCAATGCGAATTAACATATTTATTTACATAGTTAAGTATGATTCAACGGCATTCAAAAAAAAATACATGTCAAAAGTCGAGACAAATGATGAAACTTAAAGAACTGGAAAATAACTGGGATCTAAATACGATCTTTAAGTCAAGGTTTAAAGTCTAGTCTTTAAAGTATACCTAGTGGAATCTATTGTTTAACGTAGGTATAAAGAACATATAGATACAACTGGTTATTTCATCAATTACATCACAAATACTATCATTATATAATCAATTTTACACTCAACTTTTTATTTTTTAAAAATGACACATAATAATATACTATTTTACAGATTTTTGTAAATTAAAAAAAAAAAACATGTCATTAAAAATTATAATTTTTTTCTCCGATAACTAAAGCCGTAGGAACTTGAAAGTATAGTTAATTTATAATGTAAAACTTATTTCAATCTATTTTTGAATACAGAATAGTCGTAAAGATATAACGTACAAAAATTAGAATAATTGCAATACTTAATTTTACACAAAATAATAATAAAACAAAACAGGCATTGTGATAACTAGTGTTTTTTTTCCCAATAAACGATTATAAAACCTTTTAGATTATAAAAACAAGTTAACGTTTTGTAAAATGAAGGTTTGGACTTAGGTAAGTATGATATGTAAACGAAACGTCAGTGCGCTAACTCGAGTACTATTGTTCGATTCAACAAAATCTTGAGCTATCATATTATAGTAATATGCAAGTCCAGACATTAAAGTGTAAAATTAATATTTTTATAGCGTGAAAACGTTTAAAAATTATTTTGTCTTCTACATATGAAGCTGACAATGTATTAATTTTACAAAGATGTGCCTTTTTTTGGCCCTTAACAGTTTCATAAAATGTTCACTCTATTTTAAATATACTATCTTTTTATTTTTGGACCGTAGGGGAATTTTACGTCCAATGGTTAGGTACACGTGAAAACTGTACGTTTACATTTACCAAAAAATAAGCGACTGTTGTTTGTAAGAGTGATATGAATAGTTTGATTTTGTTTTTAGCTGTATTCTCTGGATTCTTGTCCCAGGTACGACGAAGAAATGCTAAAGCTACATAACGATGTTGATCTACATAAGTTTTATCGTCAATACGATGGCGTTTTCCAGTACATCAGACAAAAATCGGGACTTTTGTTGTATACAAATTTTGTAGAATCCAACATCACCAACATGCTGTACGATGCACTTTTAATAGAGGTAAATGTGCGCTGGTGTATTATAATATAATAACACGTGGGTGGTTTGTGCGTTTTACGTTTTTGACGTTCATAATATACGTCTGTCGTCTGTTGTTAACATAATATAACCACAACACACCATTTTTTATTTTATATACACAGATATATTATACAGGGACAACAAAAGATTAAATATTTTGATCGTATTAAACTAATTATTATTTGTTCTTAATACTACAGTTTAAAAATAAACGGTTATCTTGACTTTAAACATTATATTATAATATTATTATCGATAATATGGAAATATACTGTTAAAATGGAACCGATTAAAAAATAATAAATACAAACGAAGAGTGTAAATCAGAGAACTAAATTTTGTTGTAATCGTTAGTTTAGAAATTAAGTTTTCCAAATGATTGGACGATTAATTAAAACTTTATAATTTGTGATATTTCTTTTTTTTAAACAATGGTACTAACATTATATTATCAACTAAGGTTTTTTTTTTATTAATTTAGTCTTTATACAACTATACACTGCCAGAATGGACTAAACAAATTTATCCAGAGCCATTGGAGACAATTGTTATCAAAAATTTCGAATTGAGTACATATAATACTGTGTTGAAAAAGCTAAGATCGGGTAAGTAAACTATGTTATTGGTTTTGATATATTTTATATTGTATTATGAAATAACGGAAAATTAAAACCAGCTTCAACCGAGTCTTATATTTATCGTTATTTGTGTCGAGTTTTTTTTTAAAACAAAATTTGCTATAGACTCTTAAAAGCTAAAAGACCGGCTATAAAATTTGTTATTTGTCCACTTTAAGAAAGATTAATGATCCGTTCAAATGTTTAGAAAATAGCTTCTGAGTAAATGTTGATTTAATTTATCGAAAAATAAAATGGATTTTTAAAATCTGTAGCAACAATTTACTGACTATTTATATGAACACATTATTGTACTGTTCTTATTATTATAATTTTGTTGACAGTTACAAAAATACAAATTAATAGAGTTTAACGTTAAGTGCAGTGTTCTAGTTATATCAACAAATATTATATTTGTTATGTCAATAATTTTAAGACAAATTATGAGGTATTGGGCGTGTTTGAACTTTAGTGATATATTTTGTTGTTTGGTTTTTCAGACATTTTGTTAAGTATTTGATATAGGTGAATATTATACTATATAATATACAACGTAATAGATTTTATATTCGATTTTTATTGGATTTTATAAATGAGGCAAATATGAGGTTTAATAATTCTTGTTCCAGTGCGAACCGTTAGCTGGTCGCGATAGTATTCCACAATAGATAAGAGTAACACATTGGCTTATCTACTGTACGTCTGTACCTGTGTTTTATTCTGGTATATTGTTCCAATAGAATTGCCTAGATTTTTTTAATTTGTTTTTTTTTTTTATTAATATAAACTTTCGGTAATGACATAAATCAGGATTTATAACTAACACCAATGTTATATTGTTTGAAGGCCCTTTACTTAAAGAAATCGTGACGCATATGTATGAAAAGGCAAACGGTATGTTGACTCCGGATAGAAAACTATGGGTTTATTCGAATCACGACTTCATTATTGCAAGCTTACTCAACACAATGAACATCTATAACCATCAACTTGTACCATACGCCGCATGTGTCATGATAGAACTAAGGCGCAACTCGAATTACAATTATGTCGTCATTGTAAGTATATATTTGTTTAAATTATGAAAATTTTATTATATAGCTATTATAATGCAAGTGCACCAAAAGTAAAAATAACAACAGCTCCATAAACCATACAAATTTTAGCAAACATAAGTAGTGTTAGGTATATAGTGTTTCATTTTCTTTATTGTTAGATTACCTACTATTTGTTTTTAAGCATTTTAAAGTTATTACTTTTTAGTTATAATGCATAAAAAAAATGTTAACTTTTTACGCTTCTGTTCTAGTCTAAAAGTACTTAATCAGTGAGTTCATATCCAAACATTTCATATAGATGTCTCTGTCGCTTTTTATTTTTAAAAACTATGAGTTTTGTATTAAAAAAAAAAAACGTACGTTAATAAACTTAAATTAATCTTTTTAAAAAAAGGAAAATTTTCAGATCAGGTTGAAATTTAAATTTGTTTTTATGATTCTTTTTTATTTTTGGCAATTTCAACTGAAATGTCACAGTCACATTCTGTACAATAATATTAAAAATAATCGTTTTGAATCGAGCCAGCGGACCGCTACAGTTATCAGCTTACACTACACTCGAGTTTATGGGCATATTATTCTAATAAATCCTTATTAGTATTGTTAATGTATGACCTGGTGTACAATCTCGCATGCGTTGCATAAACCCTAACGAGCATGTCTTAGCTAAAATATATACTATAGCGTTTATCCAATTAGCTGTAATCACAGACCCGACAACGTAGAGGTTTAACTTGGAAATTTCTGTTTTCTTAATAATTTTGTTTGCAAATTGACGGGAATAAACAGGGTGATTTATTAAGGATAAGACACAAGACAGAAACTAAATTTCTCTTAAAATAATTAAAATTTTGTAGTTTTTCTTTTTTAACCCGCTTTTGTTTATGTAATTTTATAATATATTATATAAAATGACTAAGTATTTCCAGTTTTTAGTATTTTTTAGAGCTATATCAACTTTTGAAACTTAAATAGTAGCGTATAAATTGAATTAACTTTATAAATTAAGAATAATTTATTGAAATTTTGTCGGATCGATATACAGTTTTTAATAATGGTTTTAAAGTTAGTAAAGTTTAAAATTTAGAACGGGAGTTGGAGTGCAATTGAGTAATGTGCACAGATAAAAATAACTCTACACTCCACCCTTCCTACCGTTCTAAATTATAAGCTTAAATAACTCTAATACCATTTAATCAAAACTGGTTATCGACCAGTAAAAAATGTCAGCGAATTATTCTTAATTTAAAAATTTAATAAAATATGTATATGTTATGAATTAAATTTCAAAAGTTGTCAGAGCTCTAGAAAATACTAAATAAGATAAAAAATTGATTGTTGCCTATTATTGTAAAACAACATAAACTAAAGGGGAAAACTTAAAAATTTTAATTATTTTAAGAGAAAATTAGTGTCTTATCCTTAATGTATCACCCTGTATTTGTATCATAGGTGGTAATCGAAAATGTTTTAAATCGACTAGGCTTATAGGTTAGAGACTAGAAATGTATCGATATATTATATTTCTTTGGCTGTCGGCTGTCGCCACAAAGAAGATTAGGAAGGTAGGTAGACTATAATGTCTCTATCGGGTGTCGTCCGGTAATAATAAAAATCTATTGTGCCATTTGTGTTATACGTGTCGTGCGTGACAATAATAAACGACTCGAGGGATTTGTACCTCTCTCTATTTTGACCGTACACGCGGATTCTCGCGGTTGGTGTTTGAACGGTAAATTTTAATTTCAAAAGAGCCCTCTCGGGCTCAAGTTTCCAAATCGAATCAAACAGACGTCGAATTTCGGGTTATTAGATTATTTACCTACGAATTTCCCGATATACACCCACGGCGGTTCATTTATATAATAACATAACGATAATATTCAATTAAATACCGTCTGGAATCGTCCGAATTGCGTGCACGTGTTCGAATACTATTTGCTAGGCTCGTAATTATTGCAGCAATTGTGTCTGTAATCAATTTTTTTAACCGTAAACTGTCAAAAAGGAAGTGTTTTTTGTTTTGCAGGTATCCTACCGGAATGACACACAACGCCGACCGTATTTGCTGCACGTGCCCGGTTGCGATGCAGTGGACTGTGATTTGCATACCTTTATAGATGTGCTGACTCCCGTCTTGTCAGTGGACAGGGATTTCGAATGTTTTCCCGAACACGCCAGTGACTTTTTAGAACTATGGTGTAAGTAAAACACCAAATGATATTGAAAAATGCTCGAAATTCTTCTGTCAAAAATCATTATTATATAAAACATGTCCTTATTGCCCTATTAACCGCACCGAAGTAGAAAATAGAAATATGTGTTTTTTTTCTCCAAAAGTTTGGTCCTGACAAAAGAAATAGGATTTTTTTTTTATAAAAACGAGTCTGTTCGATAAAAATACACTACAATGGGGTCGGGGCGGTTACTATAGCTGTTGTTTAGAGGTGGTTATAAATTTGAAAAAAAACAAACAAAAATTACTTTCAAGAAAAATGTTTCGAAGCGAAATTTATGGATCTATCGATAGAAAACGTTTACTATTATTACAAGTAATGTAACATAATTATATAATAAAAAATATTAGAATACATAATACACAATCGTATTGGGTATATATAGATAGCTTTTATTAGTTTCCTTACTATGCACTAGGAAAAAGGGAATACATTTATGATTTCCAGAAAATGGCTGAACTCGCATATAAATTATTGTTTCTTCTTTTCTATAAAACACAATAATCTTGTTTGTTTTTTTTCCAGTTTATTTTTCGACTGTTATTTTGATCGCAGTTGTCTTGACATTGTTTTCTTACATGGCGTCCGATAAAATAGCGTTTTGTTTTAAAAGGAGAACCGACTATATAACTTGTAAGTATATTTCTAAACAACTAAAGTTAGTTAAGATGTAAAAAAATACAAATTTATTATACACCTATTAATTTTATTCGAGTACATAATTAAATATAAATAGGAAAAAAAATAAACACGATAAATTATGTTAAAAACACAATACATTTTTTTATTAAATTATTATTTTATAATAATTACAAAAATTACGACAAAAAAAAATGCTGCAAATTAAGAATTCCTGCAATTTATATCAAACTCATTCAGTGTCAAACCGCTATTAAGTTGACATTTATTTACAGTACCTATACTAATTTGTTTTACTACCACAACGAGTATTTTAGCATTCTATAGAATGCTTATTAAAAAAAAATAATAATAATAAAAATAATATTTTTAGGTTGATTCTGTCATAGTGTCAAATAGTTAAAGAAAAGAATAGCATTCATTACGATCCGGACATTGACGGACAATTACTAATTATTAAAATAAGTATAAGTATTGTAAAAATGTCTAAAATAAAGGAGAAAAAAAAAGTATTATAAATACATATTTTATAAATTGATTCGTTTTTAGTTATATTTTTTTATACACCGCTTTAGTTTTCATACTTTATTTATTTATTTTTATTTTTTATTATTAATACCCGCAGCATCTGAGGCTATTGGGTCACAGGTTTAATTACATTTGGATTACAAGGATACAATAAAATTAGTTATAGCTATTTACTACTTTATTTGTTAAACAGAAAACTATATATTTAATGTAATTAATAGTTAAAGAAAAAAATAAAACTTGGGGTTTTCAATTATTACTAACGTTAATTTTTGTATGTGTTATTAAAAACTAGTTGTATTTTTCATACATATTTTTTATGTTCGTTATTATATTTTCTACTAATTTTCGCTAGCCTAGATATTTATAATAATACATTAGTCCATTAGGTTTTCTGGTTTATGTTATTCTCGTTTATTGAATTTGATGCATTGTTTTGTATTTGCAAATTATAATTATTATTGTTACTTTTGCTTACCGAAATAAAATAATATTATTTCGCTCATTGCTTGTTGTTGTCTATTTTCAATTTACTATTATAATTATTATTACTACCGAGGCAGTTAGTTAAACGCCATTAGTCTTCTTCTCGCCATACCACTTTGTTGCTTAAAATCTGTTTTCCGAGTCCAGCTATATTGATTTTTTACACAATAACTTGTTGTTGTTTCATTATTCTAGATTATATTCAACCATATTTTATATTTTACTATACTTTTTAGTTATTTTTCCATACATTTTGTCATTACCATTATTATTGTTTTTTAAAAATATATGTTCAAATCAAACTTATTAAATTACTAGGCTTTTCTTGGGATAATCTTTAATTTATAAATAGAAGTACTAGTTTTTATACTTCTTAGTGTACCTATATATATTTCTGTGGCTTGGAGCAAGAAGTGCCAATGTTAATTTTGTGCATAAACGAGTTAGTCCGCTAATTGCAAAATTTGAATCATTCTTTATATACTGTGAAAAAATCACACTCTAAAACCAAAAAATGAATTACTCATGAAGAGTTTGATAAAAAAATTAACATAGAGCTTAATGGAAAATAAAAACTTCAAAGCTCATTTTCCGAAAGTTGCAAAAAGTGACATTGGCCCTTCTTGCTCCAAGCCACATTATTACAGATATTTACATTATTATAGATATTTTTGTTATGTATATTGTTATTATATACAATAAAATAAATTTAACAATTACTAATTTGTTTGTTTTGATATTTTATGTTTATTGTCAACCTTGACAGTTGGGTTTGATTTGAATGTTTTGTAAGTCGGTAAACAAAGGATCACTGATAAACGATTCCCTTTTGAGAATTTAAGCTTAATTTAACCCAAAATAAGCCATAAATATCCGAGTGTCCGTTATTTACTATTCGCTTAACAGATCAATATTTATGTGGCTTAGTGCAAAAGTAACTGATGCTATATTTTTTATTAAAACATACTGGAATGCAAAAAGGATTACAAAGGGCTTTTAAATAAATATTTCTGTACCTATACAATAGTTGAAATACCATAATACGATTTTAAAATAATTTAAGCATTAACATTTAACAAACCTTAGTTTTCTATTAAAGTAATATATTTCTGGTACAATTCGTAAATTAATACTTGTATTTTTGTAAATAATAAACAATATATAAGCACCATTATCGTCATAAAATAAGTGACCATTTTTCGCTTGTATAGTGCTTTTATTAATAAAATTGCTTATGTGAATTAAAAACCTAAAAACTTTATGATAATGTTTGATACATTTGAATTTAACTTGCCACAGTTATAATTTTAAAGTAACATTAGTGGTCCTATTCCATTAAGCTGTATTCCACAAAATTATAATAAACTCTATGTATGATTTATGTACAATTATATTTATATAATATTGTGTAATAATGAAAAGTCTAGCTATCTGAATTTTTGCTAAGTAGTTTACAAATGGTGTTTTTATAAATTTACATAAAATGAAGATAAAATTCGCAGAACAACATGAGCATCCCAATTTATAAAATAAATACAAAATATCAAACAATTTTCAACTAAGCCTAAATAATGTAAATACGACGTAAACAAAATATACTGGCTGGTGTTCAATTCTGTCTTAGGTGTTCTTATATATATTTCAAGTAGTCATTTCGGGTTTATTGGTTAAGATTAGTTTAAAGAAACGATAAAAAAAAAGATATATTGTGCACTACTCAACAAAGTTTGATAACCTATTAAGTGTGCCGCTAATTAAAGTTTTTAAATTATAATTGTATTACATTTTTGCAATTTGTAAAACAATTTTATCATGGTATGGTCCACTTTACTCAGACTATATATTACCTTCTCAACTTTGTATCCAAGTTCAGTCATTCATTTACTTATTTCTCAACCAGTTTATTATTTTACGAAATAAACCAATTGTGGGGATTTTTTAAATTACTAAACATACAAAGATTAAATCTGTTTATCCGAAACCTATGTAATGTAAACAAATTTAATTTAAAACTAAATAAAACCGTTTAAGAAATTGCCTAAAGAAATTTTAGCGTATAATATTCACTTAAATAATACAAGTTGTATATACTTGCTTAACTTAATTATATCAAAATTAACTTTAAAAGATGAAGTTTTTTCTGACTATATTTTTACCATTTATGATACATAATTCACGATAAACTAAATTATAGTATTTAAACTTTCGGAGGAACCAACGTTGATTTTTAACGTTTAAGTTAATTAAAGATAATTAAAAAAGAATGAACTAAAAAAAAACAAGCAAATTAAATTCTCAAGCCTTTTTTAAAGCATAAAGCAAACTAAAAGCCTATAAAAACAGAATAATGAGAGGTATACTGTGTCATCAGTCATCACGTACAACAAAACTTGATTACAATTATTTAAGTAATTAAATTAAAAACGGCGTATTTTTTGTTAAGTCTTTTTCAGGTAAACAATGTTTATCTTCGATGAGAAGTCCAAAATTTATTTTCGTTTAATAACGTTTCGCCTTATCTAGAAATCTTGAAGAGAACCTCAATTAAAAAAAAAGTAGTAGGTACCAAACTAAGATGGAATCTTTATAGATTAAAAATCCTATATTTACGCTGCGGTATTTAAAAAGTGGAAAACTCTCTAAAAATAGCCAAATGTTAAATTTTAAATCGGTTTAATTTTAAGTAATAATTTATTATAATAATATTTTAATAAAATACTATAATCCCACTATACTATTATGGTTGATATTATTCATCATATAAATATATAGTACCTAAGATACATACATGTGTATAAATCATACTCAATGTTAACCAATTATGTAAGATGTATTGGCCGTTAAATTTGCATACCGTTTAACTCAAATTTACAAAAAAACAACTTAATCAGTAGAACACCATTGATATAATTTTCATAGGGAATGAACCCGGTTAAATTAACTGTAACAACTGTTTCAAATATTCATCACGTTTTCAGGCAAAATGTTGAAGTGTTGTTATTTGAGTGAAAAGCCTAGTACCCACTGATTCGGTGGAAATTTCTTATTGAGTCGACTAGTCTTATAATGTAATAATTTAGCGATGAAATGTTTCCATCTGGCTGGCAACTGTAGAATTAGTGTTGTGTCGACTCTATACGTCTCTTTCATTATAGAGCTTTTATGGAAAATCCCCAGCTTAAACCACAAATACTCTCAAGTCTACCCTTGGTATTATAAGCGTAACGGAAATCCTCTTTAAATAAAGAATTAATAGAATTTAAAAAATTTGCTTGTCTAACTCTATTCATTATAATTCATAAGTATTAACTTACATGGCCCATTAATACAGTTCATACAATGTTTAAAATAAATTAAACTAGTTAGCAATTAGTTTACAAAGTTGTTGATCAACTTGATTCGACTAAATTAATACGGAGAAAGATGATAGCGGTACAAGGTATTCTATTTAACAAAATTGGTTTTAAAAATAATTTTAAAAAACCTAGTATTTTATAAATAACGAAAAATCTATATATTTTTGTAGATGAACTTTTTCAATTTTGGATAAAAAGTCATGATGTTTTTTTTAACCATTGAGTGTGTACCGCTTAGTGTCATTACTATTTAAGTTCTAAACGTACACGACTTCTGATTGATAATCTCCATACACATATATAATATGGATTAGTGAATGAATACATATGATAGATTCGTTCCAATGGTTTTTGAAATGAATAGCTTCAAACACCTAGTAAAATTATGAAACATAAAGTTTACTTAAAATGATAACCATTTGGTTTTCTTAAATTTGAGTATAAGGTATCAAACTCCTAGCTTTTTTTTTATAAAGAATAGATGCAGTAAGAAAAAACTGATCGCATTAAATAATGATAAGAAATCCGAACATTTTTCTTTAGTTTTGTGCCTTTTATGGAAATCGACCTAAGAAATTTTTAAAACTTTACTCGAACAACGAATGAACGTTAAAGGGAAGAGAAGTAGACGAAGACCTAAAAATAAATGCTGAGTGTAATTGAGAATAATATTATAAGAACGGCCGATTTAAAAGCCCGGATGAGTGGCAGATCGGATTAAGTGGATGTTGAGAACTAGGGTAGTTGACCTCTCTAAATGCCATCATTTAGAGGATAAGGAGAGCAAGAAAGGAGTGATGAAGTATGTTTAATATCGTAAAGTATTATAATATAAAATATAGTCACGGATATAACTATTGACTACGCTGATACCCATGCCTATATATGTATACTTATTTCATTTGTATTATCGGTTATATTGCCATTGGCATTTTACCAAATCTAACAAAATAGAAATTAATATCAATTAATTATTTTACAGTTTCAAAAGTAACTGCCCTTTATGTGCACATTTAACAGTTCATCCTTTTATTTATCGTTTTCTCATATAAATGGTTCAATGAAGTTTGAGACCCTTTTTGTCTTAAAAACGTATTATTCTATCAATATTTATAAAATTAAAGACGTTTGTATATTTTTTACCAACCTTATATTATTATAAAAAACTAGTTGTTAGATTTTTAAGATAATACAATGTAAAATTTGTTTTTCTCAAATAAATATACTCTCTCTAGCGCAATATTGTAAAAGAATAGTATTAAATATTTAAAACGTTTAAACAAATAAGCCTACTGTGGACTTATTCTTAATGTTTTAGTTGTAGATTGTAAATCGATTAAAGGTATTATGTATAAAAGACTGCAGTACAGCTACCGGTATAACCTTAAGTACTAACATCGATATCGCGCTCAACGTATTTCAATAAAGTTGTATTATACTGATTTGGGTTTTCATACACTACAAGTTATACCTATCAAGGTTGTATATTATCTACTCTCTTCTTTTTTTTTGATTCCATCGTGAATAAAATAATATATTATTTTATACATTCTACGCACCTGCAGCCATGACCGTTAGTATTCCGGCTGGTATTGCCAAGCCTAGGTTCATTTTTCCTTTTTCTTCTATTATTGCTACCATGCCCATCACGAGCCCGGTTATGCCGCAAACGATCTGGAAACAACAATGGATTATTACAATGAAATCGTGTAAGTTCGAAAAAGTATATAATAAAAAAAGGACGGTACGAATTTTAATATTTATGAAGTGTAGTGCTAGTATAAAATTATAGTGGGTATGGTCCGTTTTCGCGTATTGTGTAGGCAGGTACATACTATTATCATATATATCTTTGGAATCGTATATTATGCTGTATTATATACGCGCAGCTTTATTATAATGTAGGTCATATTATGAAAAAAGGATTACAAGGTAAATTATTTCTTAACGACATTACATATTATTATATAATAATACGTTTTATTATTTTGTTATCCACGCACAACACACTTTTGTAAAAAAACCTTTCTACCTTTGGTAATTTAAATTTGGTTTTTTAATATATTTTTTCGCGAATAGTTTTCATTCCTGTACACGTGTGAACACATATTGTGACTATGGCCTACGTTATTCCTACCCTAATATAATAAGCTTTACATTTAATTTTTTTAATTTTAAAATAATACTGAAATACCTAGTGAGAGTGCTAGTAAGTAGTAAGAATGAAATAAATATTAAAAAAAAAAAACCACAAAAAATAAGACAGCAGCGTCGATTTTTAAAAATATTTTATTCTTATTATAATGTGATATATCACGAGTGTTGCTTAAGTGCTTTGCCTAGTGCTAATATAATATATATATATATATATATATATATATTTAATATTTAGAAATATATTTGTTCGTATCATGTTATTTGTTGTTATTTAATATTTATTATAGCGCAAAATCAATGTCATTCGGCTCATTTTACAATAATAAAAAAAATGTCAAGTAACTGTACAGTAACAGAATCTACCTGCAAAACATTTATATATAAATATACTATACATATTATTAAACTGTTACAAGTATATATTATTATAATTATTGCATATTGTGATTATTTATGGGAAAGCATTATCATGACCGTTACTAAAAATTATACTAGCAAGTACACAAGGTTTGCTTTAACATCATTTCGTATTTTTTAAAAGATGTCATAAAATGTTACCGACTGCTTCGCAATCCACTTTTGAGTTTTCAAGTAGTAAAAAAGTGTTTATCTTATCGTAGCATCATGATCGCAAATTCCGATAACAAAGCGGAATCCTTTTTTATGGTCGTGAAGGGAGTGGTATTAAAGGGCGAGCGAATGAGATGTGCAAAATTCAAACAGCCTAAAGCACTTCTCGACATTCAAGCTACAAATTGGAAAAAACCTCATTAAAATCGGTGAAGCCGATTAATGTAGTATGATAGCAAATGTTATCGGAGTAAAATTATGTTGTCTAGATGGATTTTCCGAATTTAGTTTAAGTCATAATTTGAAAAAAAAACATTATACATTTATCCATCAAGCCTAATAGATAATAACACGGAACTTACAAGAAATAATTAATGAAAATTAAAAGGAATATAGTTAATTTATAAAGCGTATACATTGGTTAATTGAACCTGTTTTCGAAATACTTCACTTGTTCGTAAAATTGTTTGGTTTTATTGTTATAGTTTTTATACGTTATATTATCGCATTAGCAAAACGCGAAACAGTTTTTGGCAGTTATTCTTAGGAAAATAAATTATTACGCAGTTTATAAAACACATTTAATGCCATTAACGATATTGCTTTCAATTTTAATACCACTCGCAGAACAATATAGGGGTCTATTATTTTAATATTAATTTTGTTTCCCATTACCGGAATTGCGTCCAGAAACATAGGGTGTGTGCGTATGGTTACAGCCGGTTTTGTTTGGTCCAATATGTACACACTTGTAATTATTTATTTGTGGTCCGAGTTACTAAAATTGATGCAGTGCACTACAGCTTACTAAGTGAAAGGAAATTCAATACATTTTATTTAGTTAACGCATATGGCTTTGAGAAATTACTTATATATGTTATGTACATGTTATATTAATTAGTAAATCGACACCAAAATTACAATGCATTATAAAGTTTCAAATATTGTTAATAATAGAAATATACAAAAAGTTTATAATTTTTCTTTATTTATCAGAATCCATTTAAAAATATTCTCCTCAATGCGTTGGATGAAATACACCTGAATTACATTAAAATACATTATCAGATCTATATGTTCAAAAATACTGATGACCCCGCGATTCAATTTAAACAATATATATAATATATTGGTATTATTTCGTATAATTAATGGATTCTGAAAATATTATTGAAATAAATCAGCCTTGTCGACTATTAGTTTTATGATTGTAACAGTATTATGTCTAGTAGAAAATGTTGCATACATTTACATTCCAAATACCAGTACAATTGGTTTATCTACATTCCAGTTTTAATGGTATTTTAACATACATTTTCTATTTTTTTTTTTTTTTGACAAAGTAATTTAAACTATTTTAACTAAAATGTTTTACAGAAATTATATAAAATTAGATAAGACGGTTATTGAATCGATCGTGAATAACAAATGAAAATGCTGAGTTTAAGAAAATTATTACTGTTTGAGTAATAAGTATAATAGCATTTATTTTTTTACAATAGTCAATAGGTATATGTACGTTACAAGCATCAAGCATGTAAGGCATTCGAAAATAACATTATGTTCCAAAACTCACTTTATACGTTTTATAACATATAATAAAAATAAATGTCTTTACTCACATAAAGACTTAACCTTACCAAGAAGAAATCCGGTGTACAAATCGTTTCGAGTTCCAAGAAGTGTGTTTGTGAACAAATTGAACTAATCAACTATTTCCGAATGAAAACCTTAAATCACCGTAAAAAGGTCAAGGTTGAATGCAACGACAAAAATGTACTTTGGTTTTTGCTAGGCTATTTCAAACCCAATAAAAGCGGAAAAGGTACTCCGATATTTGAATAAATACTGTTTGAAGGATAAAAGCATATCAATTACCTATACTTGGGAATTTTCATCTCAAGTTCAAGTTCATAATTTGGTCATAATTTTGTAGCCAGACAGAAAAATAACAAAAGGATCTTTCGCGTTCAGTTGGTTCTTATTTTAAACTTTTGTATATTTGTCCAAACAAAGCCTATTGTGTACTACCTGGAAGCCCATAAGACGCAGCAAGATTCTTTAAAATAAATTAATATCGGTTTTATTTTATTTTGAACAGTGTAAACTAATTCATTCATTGCAAAATATTAACTGCCTTAATTTTAGGTAATATTCTTCTTTTAGTAAATGGATTTGTAAGAAATAAATTTAATCATCCTAGTTTTTTGATCTTTCTCATACCGATGTTCTAAAAAAAAAAAAAATTAAAAACTACAAATTATCCATGTCAAGCAAGTCCAATAACACAAGTAATATTATTATTGTTAGCCACGCTGTGCGTGATAGTTTTGGTGGGATTAACCAACTAATCCCATTTCATCAGAACACGCGAACAAGTGTTCATGAGCTTTGCCGATCTACAAAATAATACAGTATACGAATATATAATATTTCATATTGTCATTGTGCTCATATTTGTCAGCAGCATATTTCCTCAACTTGTCCTCTTTGACCACTACAACATAGGCGATTTTGTGTTTATTTAGCCGCATTACTTATGAATCTAACACACTTGTATTGGAAAGTACCATACTGAATCATTATTATTCTCCAAACTAGAACAAAATTATCGATATGTGTCGTTCATTGTATAAGTGAATTATCTCCTTGTAATTGAATTTTGAAGAACGACCTTTTTGTAAATTAATCTGTAGGAAAGACATACAAATATTCACTCAGTGATTTATATTTTTTTTTGTTTATTTGTGCATTTATTGGAGTCAGGAGTGGTTTCTCTTTTATAATGAAAAATGTAACACTTTTAGGCAAAAATATGTATATTTTTAAAATTTAGAGTTACACTACTTTTACAATAAATGACACAATATACAATAATACATTATAACCTAATGTATGTTTTTACATGTTACTATTAAATATTTAACCGACGATTGCACTTATCATTTTCTCGTACACCGGAAATCGCGTACAAGTAACGTGGCATTTAAATATCCAGTCAATACTTGGCCGACTCCCAATCCACCAGTAGTTGTTTAGAATACCGTGACACCGAGCTTTTACCCGCATCGTAAATTTTCTTCCGTTTTATACAGATCATAAATACTTGTTAGCGTATCCCAAATCTCAACGGTAAATTATCATAATATAGCAGTATCTAGGTATTATATATAAGTATCCCATCGAAATTAGAATCTTTTTTTAAGCTAAATAGGACTTCACACACTCTATTTTTGAAAAGAGTTACGTAAAGTATTTTTTTTACATTAACATTAAACTAATTTAATACTAAAATAGAAGTGTATAGGTTTGAATTACTATTGGGGAATTTTTTTTTCAAATTATTTTTGTTTTATTAGGCCATATTTCAGCGACCATTTGCAATATTTTATCTAAAAACTTTAGCCTTACGCTTTACTTTACAGCTTATCGTCAATAAGAAAAAGTACAAAAAGAAATAGTTTTTATCATTTTTTTTTTTTCAGGTTTTTTTATATCCCATTCGTTTATTCCGCATTGAAATATTAATTAAAAATTAATTTTTTTTTTATAATTATTAAAGTTTAAGTAATTAACATTTATCCTACATCAGTATTTAACCATTGGACAATTGATTGGGATGTTACATTTTATTTTAAACAAGGATTAATAGTATTATAGATATTTTACGGATTAAACAAGCAAAACAATAAAGAAGATAGTATAGATGAGTACTATGTTAGTTTTTAAAAACTTTTTAGTAGTATACATGATAATTGTATTGATAAGTTATAATATAGTTATAAATTGTTACTTGTTACTTGCTAGGAGGTATACATAAGTTAGTGATTACTTAAAAACGATATAATGTACAAAAGGTATACTTATTTTCCGAGTAAGGTTAATGGTTCGTTCGTGATTACTTTCAACTTTTACCGCAAGACGTGAATCGTCATTATTCAAAACCA